CTTTACCAAAAACTTTTAATTTTAGATTCTCAGTTCTTAGTTCCAGATTGTGAGATTCAAGTTGTTTGATTTTCCCTTGAAGGTCATGTTTGTTCTTATTAAGATCAATGTGCTCAAACTTTAAACTAGATAAGGAAGCAAGTAGTTGGCTCTTGGTGTTAACAAGTTCTTGAATTGTGTCTATGGAAGCAAGTAATAAGAATGAAAATTTTTTCTTAGAGAACTTTACTAGTTTATCTTTTAGGTTAAGAAGATTTACCTCTGTTTCTTCAGAGTCTGATTCAGGTTTAACATCTAATTCTTCTATCGCCATCAAAGCAATGTCCTCATCATCTTCTTCATACATGTCTGAAGAACCTGTTCCCCAAGCTGCATACATTGCTTGTTCTTTTTCTTTGTTTTTATTTTTATTAAAGAGTTCCTTCCTTTCTTTTTCAGTTTTTTCCTTTTTCCATTCTAATTCCCACATTGGGCAATCCTTGATCTGATGATCTATCTCACCACACTTGAAGTAGCCTCAGCTCTGTAGTCTCTCAAGATTTCTTTCTTTTTGGGGTGGTGATTTATTGCTAGCGTTTAATCCCCTTTTTAAGAGTTTCTTGAAGTTCTTACTTATCAGAGAAAGATCATCATCATCTATGTCAGATTCATCACTTTCAATTGCTTTAAATCCAAGATTTTTCTCTTTTTTTCCTTCACCTCTTTTGTCAACATTCATCTAATAAGTTTTGAGATTTCCTACTAATTCATCCAAAGTCATATTGGTTAGATCTTTGGCTTCTCTGATTACAGTAACTTTAATTTCCCATGATCTAGGCAGAGTCCTTAGTACTTTGTCTACCTGTTCCTCAATGGTGTATACTTTGCCCAAGGATATTAACTCATTTACAACAGTGGTAAATCTGGTGATCATATCTTGAAGTGATTCTCCGGGTTTCATCTTGAAAGCTTCATATTCAGAACAAAGTCGGGCAATTCTGAATTTACGAACTTGAGTTGTACCTTCGTGAGCGTTTTTTAAAGTGTCCCATATTTGTTTTGCAGAGGTATAACTAGAGATGCGGTTAAACTCATCAGGTCCTAATCCACATACCAAAATGCACTTAGCTTTTGCATTCTTTCCTAACATCTTGTAATTGGTTTCTCCATACTTTTCTATAGGTTTAGGTACCTTATTCCCTTCACTATCAGTAATAGTAGGAATTAATGGTCCATTAGTAATTCTAACCCATAGTTCGTAATCTTCAGCTTGAATGAAATCTTTCATTCTTGTCTTCCACCAAGAGTAGTGTTCTCCATTAAATAATGGTGGTATGTTGATGTGTTGCCCTTGACTATGCCCAAGAGGAGGTGCAGAATTCATTATGATCTTATCTTGAGTTGTTAGACTCTTCAAAGATAACCTGCTCTGATACCAATTGTTGGATTTCTGACCCCCAAATTCGCCATAGGAACAGGTTTATTCTATATGTTCCTTTGAGAAATTACAGCAGTTACGTTTTGTGAAGTAAATAAAATAATGACACAATATTTTATCGCGGAAAACCCCAACTCACAAGGGTAAAAACCACGACCTACACCTCTGTAGGATTTAACTCCACTTTATTAAATTTCAAGTCTCAACAAAAGATTACAAAGCTATGTAACCTAAGGAATTATAAACTCTAATTCCTAGAGGAATTATAAACTCTAATTTCTAGCTAAGAAATTATAAACTCTAATTCCTAGCTAAGAAATTATAAACTCTAATTTCTAGCTACCCAAAGACACAAAACCCCCCGGTTTAATATCTTCCAATGTTCTTCAAGTTCTACAACTTGTTGAACAACTCCTACTCACAAAACTCAGATTGTAAACAAGACTCTTGAATACAATCTTACAATTTTCCCTCACAAATTTCTACACTCCCAATAAATCTCAAAACTCTTTCAAACTTCTTGATCGTGTTTTGATTTCTCTCTATATAAGTGCGCAATTTTTTTGATGCAAATAGATCCCTATTTATAGATCAAAACTTCAACAAATCCTTGTATAATTCAACTTGTATTTGCCTTCTACAAATCCTTGTTGACTTCTACTTGGACTCCTTTTCTACAGAATTTCCTTAATAAATAAGAAAACACAATTTCCTTAAATAGATTTCCTTAAATAGGAATTAGTTTTCCTTCTTTCACTTGGCTTTGAACTCCTTTATAAAAGGAAACATTTTGTATTTGTTGCTTGTCGAAAAAATAATAATTCCACGGCTTTATAACTTCTAATTCACGTGGTTGACGTTCTCCTTATCCAAATCGGATTCGTTCTGTAAGGAACACGTCTGTACGACCTGTTTCTTTCATCTGTTTCTGTATTTGTCAATTATCAAGATCTTTATCATTCTAACATCTAGGATAATAATTATTTAGAAATAATATTAGCAATTTTTTTTTGAAGTAAAAATAGAAAGAGAACGACCTTTTGGCATACTATAGGGCCATACCACAAGGTATGTTTTTGTTTGTGTTATTTTGATTTATTAATACATTATAAATTGTGACATCCCAGTTTCAAAATTCTCCAAAATTGTCGGCAAAATATTTATTAAACTAAGAAGAGATATATTTGGAAGATCACGTCTTAACCAGAAGTTTAATATATATAATTATGACTAATAACACTTGAATTACGTAAGCTTTTCTATGTTTTGGTTTATTATGTTAAATATCGAGGTGATATACATTGTTAGAGTCAGCAGATTTGTTTTTATAGCTTTATAAGTTATACCGTATATATTATTGATATTGCACTATAAAATTATGAGTTCAGAGCCTGAAGGGTGAAAAATGTTAACAAAAATTTAAAACGGCATATGAATTTTTATTTTAACCAAAACGGTAAAATCACTCACGAAGTAGCAAGAAGCAAAATCGCTGCTATATCAGCGATTTGCAAAATTGGATTTTAAATTTTTTTTTTTAAGAAATCACTGACTTTAAAAAAAGATTTTTAAAAAATCCAATTTTGCAAATCGTTACTATAGCAGCGATTCGTGAGCGATTTTACCGTTTTAATTAAAATAAAAATTCATATACCGTTTTAAAAATTTTATTAATATTTTTCACCTTTAGACTCCGAATTCATAAAATTATATTGATATATAGTGTTTATACCAAAATGAAATGTCAACCAAACACAATTAGTTTGATATAAAATGGAAGACAAATTCCATAAAATACCTCTTTTTTCTCATTTAATTTTAAAATTTTGTTAGCTCTTCTACTTAATTGAAGAATAAATGCGACACTTGAAGGGACACTTTGCCATCACCAGCCACATAAATATTAGAGGGCGCGGAGACACTAACATATTAAAAGGACAAGGGCAAAATTGTCTAATTTCAAATAATTCGAGAGTAAAATTTATTTTATTCATTCTTTGTTCTGAAGCAACCGTAAAAAATAACACCATTTTTGAGTTAGTTGACTAAAGAAAAGTATATTTTTGAGCCAAAAATATAACGAAAGATAAAATTATCATATTTCAAATAAATTAAATATTTAATTTTTTTTCTTAAACTTTTAAGAGACGCTTGCACTTAACAGTCACATATTATAAAGTGTTGTAAACTCAACATCGCAATAAAAGGAGTATTAATTATTTTATGCTAAATTTTTATATTGCGATCAAATTGCTTCATTACCACAAACTAAAATAATGCAATACGTCGAAAAAGTCGAGCACAAAAATTTGATGAAAGCTCACCCCTATAAAATTTGGAGGACTTCTGTACTTAGTAAATTTATTTAATAAGACATAGAGATTAAAAAGAAAGATAAATACTTTTAAAGTTTATATCCTAAACATGTAAAAAATTTATGTATTTTATCGGGTTAAATATTTATCGAAAATAATTTTTTTATTAATGGAAGGAAATAAATGTGGAAGGCAGACTTAGAAATATGAAGAAGCTATCATGACCAGTCACGTAGAAGAGTGGCCGACCCTTAACATTGTAGTTGACAACTGATACGAATGTTTCTAGTCCACAAATTTAAGTCTTAAGACTGGCTATATTCCATCGAAGTATTATTTTTATTTTTATTGATTCTTTATCGATAATTATATTAAAATTCGATTAATTTAAATTTATATAACATAAAATTTTATTTATAGTAAAAATTTTCGTGTTAAATGTTTTATTTTTTTAATTCAATGACGCAAAAGAAAAAAAAATAAGAGTAGAAAAAAAGTCATGGGACGCTAGAACAAAACAGTGTCGGTTCATTCCAAATAGAGTTGGATAGTATTTTCTCCTTTCACAATTGTTTGTTAGGTATATTAAAAAAAAAATAGATGTTTAAGATTAAGTTAATTTAAATAATTAAGAAAATTAATTATTTTCTCCTAATTCTGTCTTTAATAATTACTTCATTTTGTTCTATTAAAAGTTAAGTAGACTTTTGATATTATTGATATAATAGGGTTATATTAATCAAATTATACCTTGAATTAAATTTTTCTTAAGAAAGTGTATGACCTTACTTGACAAACAATTATTGACGGAGGGAATAGGTTTTACATTTAAATTTTTCTCATTTGACAATATTAATTTTGTTTTATTCTTACACTTTTACATATAAAGTATATAGTATTTTCTTAAATATATATATTAGAATTCAAATGTATTAACTAAAAAATACTAATAAAGAAATTAAAACACAAACTAAAAGAAAGAGCTCTTTAAATAATGACGTTATTATTAGAAGTAACAAAAATTTATTAGGAAAAAAACAACTTTTCTAATATAACAATAATATAAATAAGAGTGGATATGAGTTTTTTTTTTTTTAATTTAACAAAAAACAATCTAAAATTTGATTTTAGACCACGAATATTTTAAAGCCGCGTATTAAAAAGGGAAAAAAAATAAGTAATTTAAACAAACTCTATGATACTAGAGATCCGAACAGAGTTGAAACGAAAACGCTAGAGGGGTAAACAGATACATTGAACCTGGACAATGCTCATTTTGGCGCTATAAAATCTCCTGCTAACTCAACGATAAAATCAACATTTGCATTTCTGTTTTTAAGTTTAGAAAAATAAAACATTTTTTTTCAAACAACATGTTTACCACCATTGTTGTGCCGGCGGCCCAAACAAAGGCCTCCGCGGTGCCGGAGAGCGAGGTGCTGCGAAGAAGAAACGAGGAATTGGAGAAGGAATTGAAGAAGAGCATTGAACGAGAAGAGAAAATGAAAGAGGAATTGAATAAGACATGGGAGAAGCTGAGGGTGGCGGAGGAGGCGGAGGAGCGCCTCTGTTCTCAGCTCGGAGAATTTGAAGCAGAGGCTGTGGATCAGGCTCGGATCTACCGAACCAGAATCCATACTTTAATGGATCAGCTTTCGACGGCACAAAAACTTGTCCAGTCAGATCAAATTACCATTACCGATTCTCAATGATCAATTCACGGAATTTGATTTTGCCGATTGACATAAATATTTTTGTGGGTGTGTGTTTCTCCGTTTGATGTTTGGCTGCTGTGTATTGAATGCGGCCGGTTCGGTTTGATTTGGTTTGGTTTGGCTCTATGTAAATGACGAGATGAAAGATTAGTTAGGAACTCGTTTTGGAGATGTAATAGGAGGAAATTTGTGTGTACATTTACCTTAATTTGTTCTTTCTTCATCAATGTTCTTATATTTTTCGTATTTATTGCATTTTTATGTGCAAGTTTGATTATTAATACCATATCTGGTCGTCTTTCAATTATAGTATTAGGTTAAAATATGTGCGCTATTGGAGTTTTGCTTAGTAGTATAGGTTGGTCACTCTATCAACATTACCGTTATAAAATACAGTAGTCGTTGATTCGTGCAGACCGCAAGAACATAGAAATACTTTTTGACATTTTTTTTTCTTTTTAAGAAAAAAATTGAAGCAAAACCAGAAACACATTAAAAAAACGACCAAAAAACACAAAAAGCTAAATATGCAAATACTCTTTTGTTTCGAATGTAATGAAGTAGAAAACAAAAAAAAAAGAAAATAGCTAAAAATCATGAAAAAGTAAGATAGAATGTGAACAAACCTCATATATTCACTTAAATTAAAACCTTGAATAATCACCAAATACCCAATAACACTCCAATAATTTTTAATAATTAAATACAATACAATATAATTGTGTATGCAGAAAAAAAAAGCAAATCAAATAAAGTAATTGAGTTTAACACGTAGACCTCGAAAAAATAATTAAATTTTAAATTTTTTTTTGCTTCAAACGGATATTCGAGACAAAAGTTACGATCATTTGAAGTTTCACCAAATGTAACTAAAAAAAGAAATAGTTATAAATTGTGAAACTTAAACAGTCATAACTCTTATCTCGAATGTCCGATTAAAATGATTTTTTTAAAATTTTATCAATATTTTGAGATTTACGCAAAAAAATATTTTACTGAACTAATAATATGTAACCAAATAATAGTGCATGAATTACTCTCTCTTGTGTGACTTAAACATAGCGAAACACAATAATCTTGATGTTGATATAATTGATTTGTTACATGTTAATATAGCTGATACACCCAATAATAAAGTGTCACTATAAAATGGATAACACAACATTATCATTCAAAATCTCTTATCCATAAATAGTCATATTTTGATATCCATATGGGATAACTGAATAACACTCAAAAAGTACTTTTTTTCACTTTTCATAATATATTATAAGGCATTTTCAAAATAAATATTTAGATTTGCTTGAAAGTCACTCAACTTTGAATTTTAATTCAAAAGTCACTCAACTATTCCCTCTTTCCTCAGAAAGTCACTCAACTTTAAATTTTAACTCAAAAGTCACTCAACTATCCCCTCTTTTCTCAGAAAATCACTCAACTCAGAAAGTCACTCAACTATCCCCTCTTTCCTCAGAAAGTCACTCAACTATTCCCTCTTTTCTCAGAAAGTCACTCAATCTATTAAATTATTTTTTTAATTAAAATTTATGGATATTAATTATTTATATAATAAACCAAAATTTTTTAAAAATAAAAATACCATTTAAACCATTTAGTGATCCACCCACCTAACCCGACCCATTAAAAAATATGGTATGACCCATTTTATTTTATTTTTAAGGGATAATGCCCAAGTACCCCCTCAACCTATGCCCGAAATCTCAGAGACACACTTATACTATACTAAGGTCCTATTACCCCCTTGAAATTATTTTATTAATAATTTTTTACCCCTTTTTAGCTTACGTGGCACTATCTTGTGGGCCCAACGATAGTTGACTTTTTTTTCGAACTAGTGCCACGTAGGCTAAAAAGGGGTAGAAAATTACATATTAAATAAGTTCAGGGGGGTAATAGGACCTTAGTATAGTATAAGTGTGTCTCTGGGATTTCGGGCATAGGTTGAGGGGGTACTTGGGTATTTTCCCTATTTTTAATATTAAATTATTCTCTCTCTTTCTCCTAGCTTCTCTACAATTTCTTTTTTCATTCTCCATTGTTGGTGCCTCTCCTCTTCTTCCCCTTTTAGCTAGGTTTTAATTTGGGCATCTCGACTTCAAGCTCTATATTAAATAGAAATATGAATGGACTCTCCTCGTCCTCTATTTTGATTTAGGTATCTTCCATTATACTCCAAAATTCAACTTGTGAAGATGGAGGACTCTACTAAATCAAGGAGAATAACAACTGAATCTCAAGTAAATGGCTCTAACTTATCTCCCCACTCCTTGTTTAACGAAGAAAGGGACCACTACACGGGTAACTCTCGAGAAAACAAGGTGCGCTTAAATTTTTTTCTTTTAGTTATTTGTTGTTGAATGGGAACAACGAGTGAAGTTAGGGTTCTTTATCCATGTGGGTATTAGATTTTCTCATTAGATGAGGTTAGGATTTATTATTTTTAGCCACTTAGAATTTTATCTGCTTTATGATATTTTTCTACACTATGTTTAATCTGTGTTTTTAGGAAACATCATTACAATGTGAACAATTTTTTAGCATAATGTTGGCTGAAGAAGTTCAGAATGGTAGTGTTTTGAGTTTGAGGGATAATGTAATAGGGACTGTTCAAGATACTATGATTGGTGAGGTAGATGATATTAATTTCAATGATCCTGATTATAACTTGGAGGAAGATGATGAAGATTATCATGATGTTGTCGTTGAGCGTCGTGGTATGAAGGCGAAAGGTAGAACCAAAAAGAATACTAATGGTCGAAGTGATGGTGTTGGTCCATCCACTACTGGAATTTTAATTCCACAAGTGCATCAGAATGCAGAATCAAATTATGACTATTCTGATGAATTGTTGGAGGGGGGTACTGATTCAGAAGACGAGGTAGAATACATAGAGTAAAATGCAGAAAATGACAATCCTATTTTAGAAGTAGGGATGGAGTTTGCTAGCTTTGATCAGTTTAAGGAGGTTTGCATGAACTGGGGGATGAAACATATGAGGCAAATATACTTCACCACCAATGATAAACAAAGATGTATTTGTAAATGCAAACATTTTGGGTGTCCATTCCATGTTTTTGCAAGTCCAATAAGTAAGTGTGATCCTACGATTCAAATCAAAACCTTGAATATAAATCATACAGGTCCTACCGTATCTGACAATTTTCATACGACACCTCAATGGATTGCAAGGAAATATTTTAATATTTTTAGAGCTGATCCAACTTGGAATGCTAGTGGAATAATTGCAATGGTGCAAAAATACCTTGGCTACACAATAGATTATAGGAAGGCATGGAGAGCCGAACAACAAGCTTTAAAATGGGTTTATGGTGATGAGGGTGCACAATATGGAAAGTTGTTACAGTATAGGACTGATTTGTTGAACACAAATCCAGGCTCTAACGTAGAAATTTAGAGAGATGAATATAAATTCAAGGGATTTTATGTGTGTCTTGCTCCTCTCAAAGAAGCTTTTAGGTCTGGGTGTAGGCCATTAATAAGCCTAGATGGTTGTTGGCTTAAGGGCACATATGGAGGCAATTTGTTAGCTGCTATTGCAATCGATCCTAACGATTGCATCTTTCCCTATTGCATATGTTGTGATTAGTGATGCTGAAAGTAAGGAGACTTGGAGTTGGTTTCTAACAAATCTTGGATATGACTTAGAGATAACAAATAGTCACCACATTGCTTTCATGTCTGACAGACAAAAAGTGAGACATTCAAATTCTTTCATTTTTCTAGTTTACTTTTTTTTATTATGTATTTTTCAATTTAAAATCAATGTTATAGGGATTGATTGGAGCTGTTAAGGAACTATTTCCAGGCAAAGCACTGCAGGATCTAGTATGGAATGCAGCAAGAGCAAGTAATGAGGTGAAATTTAAGATTTGTATGGAACGACTCGAGCAAGAGGACAAAGAGGCTAGAAAATGGTTTGATCATCCTGAAAGACCATTTCAAACATGGACTAGAGCGTTGTTCAAGACACATAGTAGATGTGACATGCTCTTGAATAACCTTTGTGAAAGTTTCAATAGGTACTTTTGCATTCTGTATCTATTTAAAGTATCACACATACTTACCGATTCTCTCATTATATTTTAATTTGTAGGTACATACTTGATGCAAGAGATAAATCAAATATAGCTCTATTGGAAATGATAAAGAATAAGCTTATGAAAAGGTTGTATAAGAAGAAGGAATGGATTAACAAATACCAAGGTATTATCTGTCCAAAAATTGAAAAAAAATTGAATCAAATAAGACTTGAAGCAGCATTGTTTAGACCAAATTTTTCTGGTGGGTCAAGTGTGTCGGTTGAGGGTCCAGGAGGGCCATATATTGCGGATATGCAAAAAAAGAGTTGTATGTGTAGGAGATGGGATTTAACAGGACTGCCTTGTCCGCATGCTTTGGTTAGTATCCATGGAAATAGTGATAAAGTTGAAGACTATGTGAATGTATACTACAATGTTGAAACTTTCAAAAATGTGTATTTATATTTCATTAACCCAACCAACCCCGAAGATCACTGGTCAGATGTAATGAATGATAGTGAAGTTCTTCTCCTAAGATAGTAAAAAAGAAGAGAGGTAGAAAGCCTAAATTAAGACGCAAGGAAACTGAAGAATTAGAAAAACAAAAACAAGCTGAAGCGCAAAGGAAAACTGAAAGAAGGTCAGCGAAAAAGGATGAAGAATCGGCTCCAAAGAAATTATCGAAAAAAGGCACTATTAATATAAAGTGTTCGATATGCAAAGAAGATGGACACAATGCAAGAGGTCACTATAAGTATGTCAACACTGTTGTGCCTGAAGCAAGACAACCTTTTGAAACTCAAGACCTAGTGTCTGATTATGTCTCGTCGGGATACTCTGACCAATTTAACTATGATATGTGGTATAATTCTCAATTAAATGTCGATTTCACAAATCAATCTATCATAACTAAGGTTGTGATTTTAATTTTAATTTTTTATACTTCTTTAGATGTTTATCAGATTGCAGATTTTATATGTTAAAATTTTCAATCAGGAACCAAGACAACAATCAACTGGTGTTGAATGCATTCAAGATGAAGTTGTTCGAGTTATAGACATTATAAATATGAATTATAAAGGTGCTGATTATGTACGAGGAGTTCAGTCTGCTCAAGATGAATGTATTGATTGTGCACGAGGAGCTCAGTGTGCTCTAGAGAGGAGTGATGATTGTATGCAAGGAGCTCAGTGCGATCAAGAGGAAAGTACTGATTGTTTGCAAGGAGCTCAAGATGAAAGTG